CCAGCCTCCTGCCGGGCGGGTGTGGGAGAACGGGCGCGGGTCAGGAGACTCGGAGGGGACAAATCCAGGGGACGGGCCCCACGCCCCCTGACCTGTCTCCTTCCGGCCAGACGTTCAAGGACCGGCGCTGCAACACCCAGGCGGAGCTGCTGGCCGCGGGCTGCCGGCTGGAGAGCGTGGTGGTCATGGAGAGCAGCTTCGAGATCACAGAGGTGCCCGGGCGGGGGGCAGGGGAGCTGGGGCCTCCATGCTCAAGGCGGCTGAGTGTGGGGTTCACCATCCGGGCTGGGCGGAGAGGCTCCCCATCAGCTATCTGGAGCGACCCCCTCTGTCCCCTCCCCCGTCACAGGAGATCCCGATCGACACCACCCTGCGCCGCAGCCAGGTGTTCCCCCAGGCGCTGCAGGTCCTCCTGCGGCCCGGCGAGGAGCGGCACTTCGAGCTGGAGGTGTTCGAGCCGCTGGAGAGCCCCGTGGACCTGTACATCCTCATGGACTTCTCCAACTCCATGTCCGACGATCTGGACAACCTCAAGCAGATGGGGGAGCACCTGGGTACGGCCGGGCCAGCATGGAGGACGGAGGGGCGGGGTGGGGGGGGCAGGTGCCTCACCCGGCTGGCTGGGCACCTGCTCAGAGGCCAGGGCTCAGGACAGCTGCCCCCACCCCACAAGGAAGGACAGGACATTAACCCCCCCCCCCAAACTCCCCACATTCCCAGGGGAGCGTCCCCAGGGTCTGGGACTTAGAGAAGGCCGCCTTCTCCAGCCGGCCCCGTGCAGGGCTCTGGGACCCTAGGCCCATGGCCCTCGACTGTGAATAGGGACAAAGGCTTCTGGGAGCATCACTGTGTGTCCACCGAGGTCACCTCCTCTTCCTGAGCCAGCCCTGGCCCCCCATGCTGATGTGGGGGCGCTGGGGCTCAGCTGCCCTCTCTGTTCCCTGTTGATGTCCAGCCCGGGTCCTGAGCCGGCTCACCAGCGACTACACTATTGGATTTGGCAAGTTTGTGGACAAAGTCAGCGTCCCCCAGACGGACATGAGGCCGGAGAAGTGAGTGGCCGAAGGGGCAGGAGTCCTGGCTTTTGCCTGAAATGAGCCGAGGGGGCGGCCTCTCAGAGAGGACGGGCGGGGGCGCAGGCGGGTCTTCGCCCCTGACCCTCTCCCTCCCCCTGTGCCCAGGCTGAAGGAGCCCTGGCCCAACAGCGACGCCCCCTTCTCCTTCAAGAACGTCATCAGCCTGACGGACGACGTGACCGAGTTCCGGAGGAAGCTGCAGCAAGAGCGCATCTCGGGCAACCTGGACGCCCCGGAAGGCGGCTTCGACGCCATCCTGCAGACGGCCGTGTGCACGGTGCGCGCCAGGGAGGGGCTGCGGCCTGGG